CAGTCTTTCTCCATTTAGAATGATATTGGCTGTGGGTTTGTTGTACATAGCTTTAATTATGTTGAGGCATGTTCCCTACAGTCCAATTTCCTCTATGACTTTGATCATAAATGCATGCTGGATTTTGTCAAAAGCCTTTTCTGCTTCTATTAAGATGACAATGTGATTTTTGTCTTTGAGTCCATTTATATGATTAAGGACGTTTACTGACTTGCATATATTGAACCAACCCTGCATCTCAGGGATAAAGCCTACTTGATCATGGTGAATGATCTTTTTGATGTGTGTCTGTATGCAATTTGCAAGTATTTTGTTGAGAATTTTTGCATCTATGTTCATGAAAAAAAAAGAATTCTAACTATGAAAAGAAACCGTCTTCCTACTTCATTCTCAAGCTGATTTATCTCTTCTGTAGCCACTTATTTTACTGTGCAATCTTACTGAAATTATTGTAAATGTGTAACATGTTTATGAAGAAACTAGAAAATAGCTTTTCCCCTGATAATGTTATTATCTTTCATCAAAGTCTCACAACTGGTTGATTATTTTTTTTTATTAAATTACCGAAGTCTGTTGGAGAATTTAGCTGTAAAAACACAGGTAGAAAGTTACTACTTTTCCAATACAGTATTCAACCATGACTAATTTTGTAAATCTCTTGGATCTCAATTTTTATATTTCCTGGGGGGTGGGGATGACTTACCCATGACCCATTGCACCATTAGCTGGTTTTATTATAAAAGTTTTCTGCTTCCGTCTTTTCTTCAATTCTTTCACATAGTTTTGGAATTGAGTATATTCAGAAGGGAAAATCCACGTCCGGGGAACAAAAGTATAGTCCAGAGGCCGAGACTTGATCATTCTGAAAGTCAGAGACAGTAAGAAATGTGAAATTCTATTCAAACATTTATGTCTTGTTTTCTGACTGTCTCATGGAGATTTAACTTCCATTGTTCTTTCTTTTACCCCTTTATTTATTAATTTACTCAACAAATGCCTGTGTACTAGAAAGTTGCCTAAACACTTGAGTTTATCAATGCTGAAAGATAAAAATTTCTGCCTTATTATTCACTGATTTACATATTAACACAACAAAGATTTATTTGATTCTGTGCTGTGCTAGGCACTGTGGTAGTAAGATAAATTAGCATGCGATCCGCCTCCAGTGAATTTATAGATAAGCTATTAATTATGAAATAGCGCGATGCATGTGAGGCATGGAAACAAGTGGGCATCGTTCACTTTCCTGGGGTGCCGGCAGGAAACATGGTTCATGCTGTCTCCCTAAGCATGATGTTTGGGGCCTCCCAGTCATTCACAGGCAGCAATTTCTGGCATCTTTCTCTACCATTGTTTTAGAATTTAACTGCTTTTCTAAGAAAACCACCTGGAGGTCTGAGTCAACAGAAGAGTTATTTATACAACCATCAATGCCTGCACTTATACAGTTAAAATGATTCCTCCTGATGTTTGTACATTTGCTATAATTAGGCTGCCTATTTTGATACATAATTGAGGGAGAATACTAGGTATAAAAATGTTTGCTTGGAGGGGAATGGATAATACTGGAGATTGGACATAAGGCCTCACACATGCTAGGCAAACATTCTACTATTGAACTGTATCTGCAGAAGGTTTTTGTAGCTTTATTTTGAGACAAGGCCTCATTAAGTTGTCCAGACAGGCCTTGAACTTGGACTCTTCATGCCTCACCTTCCCAAGTACCTGGCATTATAGGCCTGTGACACCAGGCCCAGCAAAATGTTTACTTTTTGATTGATCCCAAATGTTAAAACATTTCATACTTATCAATTCCCAATAAAAATTTTCTTAAATGAGAAGGCTCTTTTTTATTTTTTTTAATTTAATAACCACATGCTCTTTCAATATTTTATTTTTATACCTTTTACTTTTAATTAAGTGTGTATGTGTGAGTCTGTGTGAGTTTGTACATACAACTGCATGCCCCCCAGAGGCCAGAAAAGGACATTGGATTTCCTGTGTCCAATGTGGGCCACTGTGCCATCTCTCCAGCCTTGAGAATGATTTCTAAATATTATCAAAGACAGTTTTCTTTCCATGTATTTATTTACTTATTTATTTATTATTTATTTGGTCTTTTGGGACAGGGTCTCCCTGTGGCCCCAGCTGGCCTGGAACCCATATATAGGTCTTGAACTCACAGAGATCTGCCACCTGCCTCTGCCTCCCAAGTGCTAGGATTAAAGGCATGCACCACCACACCTGGCTGACAATTTTCTTAGAAGAGGATTTTTTTTTTCTAAATGTATGTTATCATAGTTTGACTTTTTTTCCCCCAAAGATAGTCCTGTAAAAAGAAGTAGTAGTGGGCTAGGGAGATGGCACTAGAGTTAAGAACGTTTGCTGTATAAGCATGAGGACATGAGTTCAAATCCCCAGAACCCAAGTAAAAAGTAAGGTGTGGTCACACAGGCACCTCTAACCCCTGTAGGAGGAGTGGAGACAGGAGGATGGCGGGCTGGTCCCCAGCCTAGCTTCAGGTTCAGGGAGAAACCCTGTCTCAGGGGAGTCCAAGGGGGATACATCAGGGTGCCCACTGTCCAATGCCGGCCTCCAGAAGCGCACACCTACACACCATGTACTACTGCATTTGCTGATTTCTTGTTAAGCCCACAACTAAATAGTCTCAGAACAACAACAAAAAAAAAATATTGACTGGTTTGAATTTTTATTTATTTATTATTTATTTATTTATGAGACAGGGTCTTTCTATAGGCAAGCTTCCCTGGGACTCACTATATAGAGCAGGCTGGCCTCTATCTCACAGAGATCCACTTGCCTCTGTCTCTGTGTACCAGCACACCTGTTTTTGTTTTTTTAATAAAATTAGTGCTAGTGTTCTTGCTTTTGTTCCAAAGCATCTAAGTGTATTTATTATATTTAATAATGACCTGAAATTAGAAAAGTTAAGGCTTTAATTAGACCAATGTTCTTTAAAGCTAACCATGTGGTATCATATGGTATCATTCTTCTCTGTATATATTTGGAAAAACTATCTGATTATATATATAGTCAAGTGAAATGTTTTATTCCATTTAGGTAATCTAGCTCAAAGGAAAATTGCATACTTAAGGATTTGGGAATCCGGGATACTATCTGTTATTTCATAGATTTACTAAATGATATTAAATAATTGGTTAATTCTATTTCCATCGTGGTAGGTCATAACTTTTTTATGTAATAGAAAACTGGTTTCTCCCTCAAGGTGAATTCCAAGGACAGCATGAAATGTGAACTTTAATCTCTTTGTCATCATCTGCTGACGACATTATCTCTGCCCTTTGCCTCTCTCATACGTACAGATTTCCATTTCCTACACAGAAGCAGAATCAGCTTTCAGAGACATAGGTCTCTCAGAATTCTGAATCTCCTCACCCAGACCTCTGCTATGGCATGTGGGGTAGAGACTGCAAAGCTGAACATCATCACCCAACAACTGCTGTCCCATTGCCCCATCCATAAATCGCTGTTCCAACTACTCTTGGCACCAATTTACTACTTGAATGTTTATGCTTTCTCCCATTACATGACCATAATTCATGCTGCTCTTGTTTGGATTGTTTTAATATTTATTATTTTTATTTTATGTGTATGAGTGTACTGCCTGCATGTATGTGAGTGCACCCATGTTGTGCAGTGCCGCAGAGGTCAGAAGACGGTGTCAGATTCCCTTGGAACTGGAGTTAAGGATGGTTTGTAGCCACCATGTGGGTGCTGGGAATCAAATCCAGGTCCTCTGCAAGAGCAGTCAGTGCTCTTAACCTCTGAGCCATCTCTCCAGCCCCGTTTGGATGGATTTTTACCTTCCATCTGGACCAGGAGACTCTAGTCACCAGTGATATATCAGTTTCCACATCACTCCCTCAGGGAAATTCACCTCAACCTCCCCAACTAGGATCAAGGCTCCTCTGTTACTCACCAGGTTATCACCACATACCTCCACCCACAGCCCTTCCTAGATTATGGTCGAATTAGAGGGCCTTTAAATCTAATTGCACAGACTTCAAATGTCTGGATTCCCAGCACTATGCCTTATTAAATATGTGTTAAATGGCAAGTGAAACTCACATCCTAAGCTTTGCAGAAGTATTTCCCTTTGCTTTGAAGTGTACTCCTCTCTGTAATTCCTGCAGTCCCACATGCATGATTCCAAAGTCAGAAGTCTAGGACACCTCGTAAAGAATCTCCGCTCTCCGCCTTTAATTCTCACATCACATTGGGTCTTAAATCCTACCAATTCTCTCTTTAGTAACTTCCATATTTATTCTCTCTCCCCCACTTCTGCCCCGACTCTTGTGGCTTATTAGATCCTCTTACTCAGAAGCTGAAACCAACTCCTCACAGAGTTTTCTCCCTATTGCCCACCCTTAGTGACTTCCTCATCTAACGTGTCCGGTTTTCGAAAGCATCATTTCTCTGCTTAGTCTCATTTCATAACTTCCTATTTCGCTCATAAAAAATTAGTTGAATAGACAAAGGGTTCAATGAATGGATGACGGAATGAAATGTAACAGCACAGCGTGCACAGCCTGGCCATTGATCATATTCCCAGCATCATCTCGGGCTGAATCTCCTAACATCCTGACCTTAGAAACCACCTAAGGGGCCTCAAAAACCACATTGGTTCAAACTCCATATATTTTCCTGTCACCATCCCTACCAGTAATCTCATTTTTTCCTCAAACAGTGAACTCCTACATACTTTTCACTGACCATCTTGATTTTTAACTGTGCCAAAAATCCTCCCCCGACCTAACAGTCATCTATTTAACCACCACTGTCACTAACACATATCATGGCATCCTCCAACTGTCTTGCATGTATTATTAGCCTTTCTCCTTGTGGTGGTTTGAATGAGAAACTGCCTTCTGTCCGTGTCCTAAGAATCTGACTGAGGCTACATTAAAACATAATGGACTAGCCAGGCATAGTGGTACATGCCTATAATCCCAGCAGTCAGGAGGGAAAGGCAGGTGGATTTCTGTGAGTTTGAGGCCAGCCAGATCTACACAGTGTGTTCCTTGCCACCCAGGGCTACATAGTGAGACATTGTCTCCAAAGGGAAAAAAAAAATGTACTAATTTCTTTATAGAAGGAAATTTCGGGATAGCCTAACATTGAATCTGTGCTGTGGTTATTAATGGTGACGCTTATACTGGGAGCAATGAAAAAGCAAGGGGGGACAGAAAGAAATACAAAGTGTATGGTTTGAAGAGAGAAAGAGCACTAGACAGGTCAATGTTGCAGCCAAGGCTTGTGCTGGAAGAGAGGCTGTAACTGATAAGGAGATTTGCTCCAGCAAGGGGAGGTCTCCTGCTCTGTACTGAACAATGGAAAAAGTGCCCTCAGGGCAAGACCCTACACAGCTCAGTTTCCAACTTGGAAAAGAGAGGCTAAGGGGTTTTCTGCTCCTAAAAAGCAATTGTTACAACACACAAAAACTGCTGCTAATGTGGTTGAAGGGGGCCAAGGTCCATCCCAAGCTGAAAACTGAACTTGGGAGTCTCATCCTCAGGGTGCTAGTTGGAGGCATAAAAGATAAAAGAGGGGGTCATGGATTCTTCCTCCTCAGTTTCAGAGAGCCACTGAGGCCAGGCACTGTGTGGCACATGAGTCCCTGTATCAAGAAGGCCCTGGGAGGCCATTGTGTGAAACGTGAAAGGAAAGCATGGGTTGTGGTAGAGACCCCAAGATATTGGAGATGCCAGAGTCATAAGCCCTCTGCCAAGGAGAGCTGCATACAGTGAGTGGAACCAGCCCCCCAGAGAAATGTATAGAGCCCTCAGAGTAAAGTCCCAGACATCAGACATGGAGCTATAGGATTTGGTGTTTGCCTGCTGGGCTCCAGTCTTGCTTTGGTCTAGGACTACCTCAGTATGTCCCCACTCCTCCCTTTTAAAATGTGCTATTGTATGTTAGAAGTATGTAATTTGTCTTTTTCATGTCACAGAGGGTTACAGTTAAGAGATTCCATTGAGTCTCAAGAGACTTTAGACTTTGGACTTTTGAGCACTAATTGAGACTGTTAACGACTATGAGGACATTTGAAGTTGGCCTAAATGAATTTTGCATTATGATATGGCTACAAGCCTATGGGGGCCAGGGAGTAGAATGTAGTGGTTTGAATGTGAACTGACCCCATAGGCTTAGGTATTTAAACACTTTATTAACTGGTGGTACTATTTGGGGAAGCTCACGGAACCTTTAGAATTATGTGGTTTCCTGGAAGGAATCACATCACAGGGGATGGCCTTAGAGAGTTTATAGCCCACTCCCACTTCCAGCTGCTCCCTGGGCTTCCTGTTTGCCATTGGTGTTGTGAGCCCTCAGCTTTTGGTTTCTGCCCTGATGCCTGTGCTTGCTGCCACAACTCTCCACTGTGATGGACTCACCGCTTTGGAACTGTAAGACCAAATAAATGCTTTTGGTTATGGGTTTTTTTCACAGACTAATACAATCCTTTACTAAACTGTGCTTTCTAAACAAGGAATAGGACTTATTTATCTTACACACTTAAAAAAAATCAGTCATCTCTGAAGCAGAGTCTAGATCTATTACAAAAAAAATTGTTACATGAAGAGATGCACAATTATAAACTTTAACATAGACAGTATCAATATTCCTTTAATTATAAACATGAGTTATACTAAAATTTCTTTATGAATAGCCCTCTTTTATTTATTTTTTTGACAGAGTCTCCCTAATCCCAGCCCACTTGGAACTCACTACGTAGACCAGACTGACCTGAATATCACAGAGATCTGCCTGTTTCTGCCTCCCAAGTGCTGGAATTAAAGGCATGTGCCACCATACTCAGTATCTGAATAGTCCTCTTTTAAAACATACTGTTTGCCATTCAATATTCCTTAAGCAAAAAAATCTAAAGTAAACCTAACCAATAGAAATATAAATTGCATAAAAATGTTATAGTTTATTCAACAAAACATTTGAGTACCTGTACCAGTTTCTCATCTCAAAGTAGATTATCACTCTGAACAATGGCCTCAGAGATACATACATATTCCTACGTAAGTGTGGGTACTTGTCTCTATATGTGCGTGTGCACACATGTACCTAGTATAGTTCTTGGCAAATGTTAGATGTTTAATTGTCACGCCACCCCCAGTGGAGCCCGCGTGAGGAACTCTCCGTGGTAGAGGCTGAGAAAACTTCAAAGGAAGAATGCTTCCTGGAGAATGGCTGTGTTAAAAAAGCATGTTGTGTCCTTGGCTGTTCTGCTTTAGCTCTTGTCTTCATTGCTGTCTTTATTTCTGTTCTTTCCTCGTAGAGGAACTGCTTTGTACCTACTCAGGTCATTAGGCCCACCTGAAGAGAGACTAGATACGGATGATTTCCTGGGAACTCAGTTTCCCAATATTAGACCTCCTCCAAATGCTCCTCTAAACAATAAGTAAAGTAGCTAAGAATAAGCAACTTTGAAAAATTCTAGATAAGTTACAGCAAGAAGAATTATTTGTAAATAATCCCCCTGCTTCAGTCCCTAGAGTTGACTCAAGGAGATCAAAGGGATACTAAAAGAAGATTGCTGCCTACAGTTAAGACAGACTTTGGAATTGCCTACGAGTTAGGGAGAGGTAGACTATGGCATCCCCTTAAGGGAAAGGAGAGCATATTCAGAATCCCCGAGCCCACTGATGAACCACTTCCTCATACAGGAGTTTATAAAGAAAATAATAGATGGGTAAATATTCAAGGACGGAAAGTTTCATGGTATTCACTATAGTTTATGGATAGGTTAGTTAGATCCAGACCACCTTGGTACCTTTACTACAAGTCAACATAACAAAGTATACTTAAATAATTACAGACAGTATAAAAAACATAAAAAAATAAAATAAATAAATAAAAATTAAAAAAACAAACCTTTGAAGTTATATGGAGTTATTATAACTTCACTAACCTAGTAATTGGCCTCGGCCACAAAAACCTCAAAAGTAAAATAAAATCAAAAAAAACAAAACCATAAAATTACCAACCATAAAATTTATAAGTAGCTAATGTTGCCAAACCACTAAAAAAAAAAAAAAACAAATAGTCTAAACACCTGATTAATTAGATAAAAACACTGTACACTGTACTGTATTGCTTTGATTTTAAATTATATTTCTAAAAAAAATTAACCATAAAATCAACCTGATGCTTACACAATCTTGTTCTGTAACTTGTATAAAATCTGATACTCCACTTTAAGAAATTACATTCAGATCATCAACCTTCTCTTGTGTTGTGTCTGTTTGTCACTCGCCAAATCCTTACCCACTCTCCGAATCCCTGTTCCTGTCGGACTGAGTGCTCTGGTCTGGGCTGGTCCATCGCATTTAATAACCAATATGAATACACATGTGTATACACACATACACACATGTACACACACGGCATATAACACAGCAAATGACTTCCTTGAAGTTAATTTAAACAAGTACTTTTTTTTTTTTTTTTTTTTTACTAAAGTGACAGCAAACCACAACGAGAAAGAATCCTGAGATTCTGGAAACTGGTTGGGGCCCAGCTCTGCTGTTAGCTATTTGTTTGACTTTGTGCAAGATACTTGCCTCTCTCAACCTCAGTTACCTCTTTTACAAGGTAAAAGACCAGAACAAGGAACCATTAAGACCACTCTAATTTTAAAATTCTTCTATCTAAAGAGAGTTTCAACTAAACACAACCTTACACAAGATAATACTACAGCATTCACATATAAATTTTGTTCAGGTCTTCTCTATTACAAGAAAATTAAGATTACTTAGTCATATTTCTTGCTAGGAAATCCTTCCTGCAGATCTCCCCCATTCCTGGAAAATGGTTGATCCTCTGGAAAATAAAGTACATATTAACATCGAATCAATGAATATATCCTTTATACTATTAGAACACAGTTAAACACATCCCTTGAGATTTATGTTCTAATAAATTAGAAATTAATAATAGAAAAGATTTAAAATTAAATGGTCCATGATTAATTTTTGGAATTATAGAATTTACGATAATCAGAGAATAAGTGTAAAATTTTAAAGAACTCATAAAGACTTTAGAAAGAGGGTAAAGTTCCAATGTTCTGTATTGAATATATGGTAATTCAATATTCAGATTACTTTTAGGACAGTAGGTTTACTAGCTTCATACACACAGACTTTACAGAAAAAAATGGTAAAATGGGACTTTGACTATTTGCCCCCACTGGTCTAGTGCGTCTTTCTCTCTAAATCTAAACTAACAGAAGGAGAAGAATGAGGAGGGGGAGCAAGGAGGAAGAGGGAGGAAGGAAGGAGAGGAGGCAAACGTCAATTATCTCAAATTCCTTGGATTTGGCTATTTTATTTGACTTCAACTTTCTTCTGTACGTAAGTTTGTTACACTGAAGAAGTAAAACCCAGAATGCATATAGCTGATTCAAGCAGATCTTTCTCCAGCTGGATACAGTCCATTCCCCCATCACATGTCTCCAAGTGTAACACAAAGCACCATCATAGATTCCTCTTCTATCAACTCTTTTAAAAAAGAAATTAGAATTTTGAAAAGCATGCAGGCTTTATGCAAAGACTCAACACAACTGGCTAGCAACAAAACAGGCTACTTGGAACTGGAGAGATGGCTCAGCAGTTAAGAGCACGAGCTGCTCTTATAGAAGACCTGGGCCCTCTTCTGACCACCATGAGCATTACATAACATGAGTGTACTTACATACATGTAGGCAATACACCCATACACATAAAACAAAAAAATGTTTTTAGAAGGTTACTTAGGTGACTTCAAAATGAATATGTGAACTGATTAAGAAGCAAAATAAAGCAAATTATGATGGAATTCATGTGATTTTCTTCCTAACAATAATTGCTCATGATTAGTTCCCCACCTGGTAATTTTGCAGCTCTGTAATCTTCTCCTGCTGAACGGCAGCATCACACCATATAAGATTACTTGTCTCATCTTCATCTGGAGTTTTCATAAAACCCATTTCATCTATTACTAAACGAACTGCAAGCAAATAGCTCAATTAAACCAGAGTTAATATACTTTTGAAACATATTCATTGTGGAAGCATATGCATATACATTCACAGTATTTCATTTGTAAAATACTCATTATTTACAGGGTAAGTTTTTTCCTACGACAGTTTTACTTAGGGACCAAATTATTCTCAACAATAGCTATAACTAGGTTGCACCAAAAATCCTTAGTTTTGAACCTCTCAGATTTATCAGGCACACAACACTGTCACAGGGTTTAGTAAATGATTTTGACACAGTGAAAATACACAGATAGCTGAGATAACACTCTACATAAGACATGTGCGTTCATGGTTTTTTCAAGACCTGGAACTAAGTACAAAATAATAAAGGCAAAACAGCCCTGACCAGCAGCTGTCTCTTGTGCCTTCCACCTTCCCAGTTCAAGTTAGTTTTACCCCTTACAACCAGGTCAGTTCTGTTTATTCAGATCATTAAATAATGAAGATATTGGTCTGCTGCTCCAAAACCTGAAATGCCACTCAAGGAGATGGCTCAGCAGTTAAGAGCACTGGCTGCTCTTGCAGAGGACCCAGGTTCGGTTCCTAGCACCCACACAGTGGTTAAAAACCTTTCTTAGCTCCAGTTTCAGGGGATCTAATGTCCTCTTCTTCCCTCCATGGGCATTGCATACACACGGTGCACTCATATGCATACAGACAAAACACTCATACACATAAAATAAAAATAAATACATAAAAAAATTGTAAAGCTTCATGCTCAGAGAAAAGCTTCTTTTTGACTACAAACCATACATATTCCTCTTTGATCTAATTTTACAGTTAACATATCAGCATTTTTTTCTTTTAGCAGGTTTCAATTTTTTTATTTATTTATTTATTTTTTTTTGATACAGGGTCTCCCTGTAGCTCCGCTGGCCTGGAACTCAGACCAGACTGATCTCAAGCTCAGGGATTCACCTGCTTCTGCCTCCCAAGTTCTGGGATTAAAGTTGTGCACCACTGCCCAGCTTCAGATTTCAATTTTTAAATGGAAATGAGTGATAATATTCAAGTTCCAGTGGAATTCTGAGTCTTAATAGTGTATCTACACAGGAGTAGTTCAATACTTGGTTTTAAATATCTTCGTTTTACTAGACACTAACAATACATGAGCAGTGAAATCAACTGTTTGGCTGGCTTATTTCAAATACGAAACTGATAGCCATGTATGAGGTGGTCGCAAACCCTAGGGGTTCTTGGCTATTTCCTGGCTAAGGAGGAAGAACCGACCTCATATGTAACCATGCCTGGAACACAGATATACCAGAAGTCGCCTCAGAACCATCTAGGTGAAGTCAGGGAGGAGTCTTCGAAGACAGGCCGGTTGAAATTTGGAGCCATACTAAAGCCCTAGGGCACCATGTACAAAAACCCAAGACTTGAAGGACGGGATGGTCATTGTCCTCCAATGTCACAGATCAGGAGCAGGTATGGCCTCCTGGGGAGCTATACCTGCTGCCCTGGTTGGACCCATTAGAGGATGAAAACAGTATCAGCACAGCCTAAGAGATTCCTCTAAAAGGCCCACAAGCAGAAGATAATAAAGAGGTCAGAAAGCTCGTACCACAGTACTGGGCATGAGTCCTGACAGACAGCACTGATTTTCAGAAATAACTGGGAAGACCCCAATATAAGAGAAGTGGAACTCCTAGTCGTGGTGGAAAGAGTCCAACGAGCCACTTAAATCTGGGTCTTCACATATCACATGCAGCAGTGAGGCTGGAAGCTTTCCGGTTACACAAGAAGAATGGAAAAGTCCACTCTGTCTTCACAGATCTTCAGAAAGTCAGTCACATATAAATCTCTTTTATGATGTGCTTTAAAGCTCAGAAAAAATACAGTGTTGGGTATTAGGCAGGCATTTATTCTTCAGCTAAACTAATTTAATGCATTTTTGTTGGAACTGAATTTTGAGAAATCAATTAGCACCTTTCCTGAAGTCGATCATCCTCCATTGCAAAGGAAATGTTATGACTCATTTTAAAATCCATTACATAAAAGATAGCTATCTCTCTGGATTTCTACATTGTTTTCAACACCAAAGCAGTTTTTCCAACAATTATGAAAAGCACATAGTTCTGAAAAAAAATAAACTTACCAATTTCAAACTTGGTCCCAGCAACATTTGCTGTAATGATTCCCTTCTTTTTCTTTTTTCTGACTTTCCTTTTCATGGTGCACTGAAGAGGTAATTCTGTATTCAGGTCCAAGGGGGAGGGTCCCTGGATAACTTCCAAAGAAATATAAACAACCAATTGTTACTGTTTTTTTTTTAAAAAAAAAAAAAAACAAAAAAACATGTGCACCAGAAACACAAATCCAGCCCCAAATAAAATGAAATTCCAAATTATGGTACTTTTAAAGCTCACAAATTCTGAATCTGTTAAAAAGCATCAGCAATGCTCTATAACACAGTCACAGTCTTTAATATGGACAGGTCATCTACTTACCCCCTTCTTGAGGCAGAGATGGCATGATCACCTGTTCCAAACAAGCAAGCAGTGTGTGTACAGTACCAGGCTCTCAGGAAATCTGGAAGTCCAGAGTTCATCTAGGTTGGATATGGCCCCAAGTCACTGGAACTTCCTATCGTGGTATCACAGCCAAATTCTCAGGTTTCACAACACTAGTTCTGGGCTAAGAAGACACCTGTAGAGATTTTAAAATGAAGTTCTTTAAAACACAAATTTATGAAACTTTTTTTTGAATACATGCTAATCCTATTCCTGTTAAAAGCCACATAATGATATAGCCAATTTGTTCCATCAAAAATGTGTGAATCAATTTATTAACCCTACGCAAAGTGCCAAATTACTGCTTTCTAACCTGAAAACGTTGTGCCATGGAAGAGATTTAATTAAAGCACGCATCATTTTATACACACAAATAACATAAACAAGGGCAATAACAAAGTTCACTGCCATGTATTGAACATTTACTATCTTAAGATTTATATCTTATCCCCTAGCCTTGTAACAAGTTTATGAGACAGAAGTTTCTTTATCCCCATATTATAGAAAGGTCAAATAATTTACTCTACCATTACAAAGAAATTAAAGGGTAAAAGGGAGTTTGAAATGTTACTTGTGTCAAAGCCAGAATCCCTTAACCAGGAACCATATATAACCTTCAACATAATGCCTAAAATGTAACTAGGTGGTGCTTTTAATGAGACAGTGAAATGACTGAGCTAATGTAGGAAATGATTCCTTTACGAGGGTAGGGAGAAATGGCTTCATAAAACAGACTGCATGTGTACTATGACTTAGGAAATGGGAACATTCTTAAAGGGCACAAAATAGTTCATCATTACCATGATGAACTTGTGTAAGCACACAGAGGGACACAGTATTTTTTACAGAACAGATTGCTTTGATTCAGCTACATCTCAACATGACCTGCAGTACACACTGGGCATCTATGGTGTCTGTGTAAGAACCAAGGGATACAGGTCCTGGTTACACTGTATTGGCACATCCACACTATCAACTTACTAACCTTTCTCTTAACGTAAGAATCTTTGAGTTCCTGTAAAATGTCTCTAATCACAATGGGAAAATTATTAAAACTATTATGCTAAACAAAGATACGACAATGTTGCTTTTAATAGATTATCAAGAGGTTTATGAGAAATTCAGCTACATTAAATTAGACTCAGATAGCCATCATCCCTAATGTTCTTAGTATCATAACAATATGACAGAACTAAAGAAAAGAGAGTTTTATTTATTCTCAAGTTTCATTTTAACAAGAATGCTCCAATATAATTCACTATAAAAACTAGGAAACTATTATTTATTATAGACCCATAGTGGGAAGTCAGTGTGTTAAGTATTTAAAACAGATAACCTCATTAGCAAGCACTGAACTTCAGTTTATTTCTCCATATTTTCCAGATACTGAAACTATGGCTTACACATCAAAAATCTAGTTTTCCATTCTGCCTAAGTGGGTATTATCGAGCCCCACTATTTTTAGACATCACACTAACACAATACCCAGACAGACAAGGAACAGTACTAATTTCATACACTGTAAGACAGGACTGTATTCTGGAAATTCACAATACTTTGAACCAAACAGAGAAATCACAGTAAATATCTCTAAACTGATCTCTCATCTCCCAGTTCCAAGCTAGACAGGGACTCAACTATGCAGAAAAGAAAGGCGCATCCTCAAGTTCAGTTCAGTTTCTGTCTGGAAGCTCTCTGACACTTCAGGGAGGTGACTATTTGAGTTCAGGAGCTCTTGTCCAACAACTGTTACTGGAGTAAACAAAGGGCCCCTTTGCAGCAGTACAGAACTTACCACATTGAAAGCAGGTGACAAAGTCAACAAGAGTTTGAGAACAATGTTTTTATAAGCACACCAGCCTCCAAACACAGACCTGTTGAATTCGCATTTAAATAATGAGACAACTTTAATTTATATAGAGTTCAAAAATAAAAACGTTTACCCCTTCCCACAGCCACACAGGAAACTGAAGTGTTTAAAATTATCCTACTCATATATAGGTTCTACTGGATTCCATGATGATTTGATGAAAGCGTTTTTAAAACTTTGAGGATTTTGTTCTATCATACCTGTTCTAATTCATTCACTTTATTCTCGACAAGAAATTTGAGAAGAAATATTTAATCACAGGAGCTGCAGTTATCACTTTCAAAAAGCTGAAAGCATGTTTATTAATATTCTATTGATTCACTGAGAATTTCATCTGATGTATTTTGACCAAATTCAGGCCCCTCCCCCATCTCCTCTAAGATTCACCCCCATCTTCTACCCTCCCCCTCAATTACCTCAGAAATACCTTAAGACAATAGTTTCTCAATTTTGGCTGCTAAGGGGAATCACAGGAGGAGCACTGATAACCCAGATGGCACCTCAGAACCAAGCTGGAGACAACAGCATCCTGGATGCTCTCTAGTGACTGTAAGCTCTCTAGTGCAGCCATCATTGAGAACACTTCACCTGTAGGCACACCATGACCATGGGACATGTAATAACTACTTCATGCACATACAGAATTACAAGAGAAAAACAAAGAAAAACTAAAGTATAAAAAGAACAGCAAACAGAAAAATCCTGCCTAGTTCAATAAAAAAAATCAAAACAGAAAAAGAATTAGATAAAACAGATGATTTCTAAGCAAAAAATGAATTTACTTTTTCTTTTTTTCTTTTTTTTTTTTTTTTTTTTTTTTGAGACAGGGTCTCCCTGTAGCCCCAGCTGTCCTGGAACTCACTATACAGAGATTCGCCTGCCTCTGCCTCCCTAGTGCTGGGATTAAAGACGTGCACCACCATGCCTGGCTGAATTCACTTTTTAAATGAATGAATTTTCCAAAATTTCAAGCAACTGCAACCATACAGAAATGTCTAATGCCAATACACATACAAGATCGAAACAAAAATCAAAGTCATTTGAAGCATCTGGGTCTCAGAACTCTTCCATCCCAGCTCTTCTGGTTAGACTTCCGCCACTTACTTAAAATCTAGATAAATGGCCATTTTTGCCTTGACTCTTCCTTTGGTCATCTGTGAGCAATTCATTTTTCCCTCTTCTGGTTCACCATGGACATCTTTATTTGTATCTCCCATCACAAGCACCAATCTAGATGGTGAGCTCTGCAATGATCATTTTGATACATCTTGCTCACCCCCTTCCCAGAGCTAGAAGAAGGCCTAACAGTTCAATAGGCACTTGTTAATGAGTTAATGATGCTGTGGTTTGAAAGTTCTCCAAAATTCATGGTGAAACTTAATCCCCAATGTAATAGGAAGAGGTGGCCTTGAGGTAAATTAGGTCCTGAAAGTTCTCTTGGATTTAAGCTCTTTAAGATAAAAGTTTCATGCCAAGTGTGGCCCTTTTTGCCATGTTCTGTAGGAGACAGATTTGAGCCTAGGGTGAAAGTCTTATTGACAGCCATACAGCAGGCCCGAGGCAACGGTCCAACCACTGGAGCCACAAGGAACGCCTTGTGACATTTGCTCCCATTGGCAGATCGTGAGACTGATGCCTAGAGCTCTCCACTCCCTAATCACCACCGTTAGAATCCAGAATTGCAACACTTAGTGCAACAGTCAGGGTCACATGGTTTCCAGAAATCCAGGCTCTGTAATCTGAAACCCAGTATGCTAATGAAGCATCCTACCCGCTATTCTGTGATAAGACGTTAAGCCTGTTGTGCTAATAGGATGCTGTCTGTTATGCTAATAAGGTATCCGACTTGTAGTACTGTGAAAGGATGCTAAACCTGTTATGCTAATAAGGCATCCTACTTGCTGTGCTGTGATTGGACCACTACCCCTATATAAGCTTGTGACTTCCTGCAATAAACCAGACCTGTGTCACTGAACCTGGTCTCCTGTGTTGAATGTGGCTCAGCTGACACAGTCTCCTCACTAGCCCTGGGGTCCAGGACTGGGCAGAAGCGGTGACGACAGGGGACAGCACAGGGCAAGCAGAAGAGCTGCTTCAGCACCAGGCAAGCAGAAGAGTGGCCTCAGCCCAAGGCAGGCAGAAGAGCGGCCTCAGCCCAGAGGGAGTGGAGGAGCAGCCTTGACACCCGTGAGAATGAAGGAGCAGCACCCACGAGAACGGAGGAGCGGCCACCACTGGCAGTGACCACAATGCTCTAATGCCACAAGAGGACATAGCAGTTGTCCACTCCAGAGTGTACAGAACAAGGTGCCACCCTGACAGCAAAATTGCAACCCCTCAGCACTTGAAAGTGAACCCTGTAGCTTCAGTGCTGGGAGAGATAGGTTAGTATTACCTACACATTATCTAATATTTGGTATTTTATTATAGAGGCTAACCCAAAGAGTTTTAAAAAATCAACTCAAAAGAGCTGGGAGTAAGCAAGGATGGTCATGGAACTGTGAGAAGCAAATATGTATCATTTACAATATATTATTTTTACATTTTTAAGTAACAATAGCAAAATACATAAAGTTTACAAAATACACTACCACTTGGGTAGACCAACAGAAAAATGTATAGCATACAAACAGAGGCCCGGTGGCCTACTGTGGCTGGGAAGAAGCCAGGGAAGACTTGCTTCTATGAATACCTTTCAGCACCCCATGCTTTGCCTATGCATGATAGAAGTTTGCAGCAGCTTTACCATGGTGATAAACCAATCACTAAATTGGAAGCTTCTTGCTTCCTTGTATCACAGTTTGGGGCACAGCTCACTCCTCATTCCCACCCTGTTCCTGCACTTGGTATTTTGTTATGTGATTTTTCAGTTCTCAAAAACAAACTTGACAAGTTCAAATGGGTTCTCTTTGGCTGCAATAAGAAAGTACTCCCAAAACTCAGGAGATTTAGAGTAACTACAGTATATTTCCTGATCACACCACCATCCCACGGAAGATTAGCAGATCATGGTCATGGGGAGCCAGGTTTCCAGAGCAGACTTCATCTGAGCAACTGATGCCAGAGACAGCTTTGAAGGATGTCACACAGGTGACTAGTGATCACTCAAAATTTCTGCTCACAATTCAATGCCTGATGAAGTCACATGACCCCATCCAGTAACAACTAAGTATAGTCTTATCAATGTGCCAGGAAAGGGGAGACAAGTAACACAGTCATCATAAGCTCTCACCTTGGTCACTCCTTATGTGACCCTGGCGCCCACC